GTGACATTTCTAAGGTCAGCACATCCACAGCCCTGCCCAGGGCCAGCCAGACTCTCTCCTCTCTACCATGGCTCCCGCCACACGACCCATTTCACTAGGAAAGTAGGAGAGGACAGAGGTGACCCCACGGAGGTCTGCCCTCTCCTCCTGCAGCTGCCAGCATCCCAGGTCCTCTTCCTCGCTCATCTCGGCAAGCAATCTGCCTGCACCCATCTCTTCCAGAATGTTGATACTTCCATCAATGGAGACCTGATTAAGCACCTCCAAGGGAACTCTATACTAAAGGCAAACAACAGAGGAATGAGCCCCCAGCTCCACTCCTCTCATCCCAGACCCAATGTTATCTAGCTCTTCTTCAGCTGCTTTATTGTTCCCTGACCTTATCTGCACTGACCCCAGGCCCACCCCAGTACAGCCTCCAAGCCTTTTCCTCCAAAGGCTCTGTGCAAAGCCACACATGGGGAGTGAGAGTGGCACTGTGCCCACTGGCACCTCGGCTGCATCGTGGTCTGGTGCCAGCCCCTCATCTGGCACTTGGCTCTCCTGACTTCCCTATGCCCTCCCTTTCCTATTACACATTCTCAGGGTCAGCTGCCTCTGGTTAGATCCTGGGGTGTCCTCGGTCCCCTCGCCAGATTCCCCTACCATTTCATCCATTTCTGCTCCTATGTATCAGGGATGTGGGGACTCACAGTCCACTCTGGAATCCTGACTCATGTGATTGTCTCGGAGAGGCAGAGATGGAATGTGGACCACACTAAGCTCGCGGTCTTCACCTAGGACCCTGCCTGGATGACAGCTGTCTTCAGGCACCCAGCCCTTGGAGTTGCCCTTGACATACTGGCCCCTCCTGTCTGCTCTATCACCTGCAACCTATGCATTGCCACATTTCCCATCTCTACTGCTCAGGTTCTCCTCAGCATCTCCTGTGATTTCACGTGTGGTCTCCACATTTCCTCCCTGCTCCCCTCACCTCCTAAGCTCCATGCACCAGCCAGGGTCCCTTACTAAAAACACAAAATAAAGCCACATAAACAAACTCTTAAAAAGGGGGAGCAAAAAAAGATGTATTTATTTGAAAGACAGGGAAACAAGGATCATCCATCTGCTGGTTCACTCCCCAGATGGCTGGTCCAGGCTGAAGGTAGGAGGGTGGCAGAGACCCAAGAACATGGGCCATTTTCTGATGCTTTTCCCAAGGCCATTATCAGGGATCTGCATGGGGGCGTGGAGCAGCTGGGACTCTCATGGGCATCCATATGGGATTCCGGAGTCCCAGGCAGCGAGTAACGCCTCTTAACGGTTTCTATGGTCTTCCTAACATTTTAAAGCTCACTTTGTATTGACTTGAAAAGTTCCTAAAATGTCAGTGCTCTATTTTTACCAAGCTATGATTAAATTTTAAGAAGTAGCCACTTGCCTATTTTGATTGCTCAAATGATGAAGCTCATCATTAAAGAATAGTCCTTTGGAAATGTTGGTTCTCTTCTCTCTGATGTTTTCGTTGTGAGGAGTGTTTCTGTCAGTTACTGTAATTTCAGTCTTCCTAATTCAACAGCCATTCATACAGGCAGAACGACTCTTTGAGACGATCTACAGTTCTGACATCCCAGCCTCGGTCTGTATTAGCTACCATGATGGAACACTCAAGACTGGGTCACTAACAGACACGTGTTTCCTCGCCCCTCTGGTACCCTCAGATCCAGGTAGGGCGCTTCCCTCTGCTTCCTGTATGACACCTGTTACCCCATCCTCACATTACAGGAGGGTGGAAGACACCCAGAGATGACCTCACCAACCTTTCTAAGCAGCAGCGGGGCTATCTCTGGGGCAAAATCCTCACCAGGCAATGAGCTCCTCAGAGTCTGCCTCTCAGCCTGGCTGAAGCAGCTGTTGGATTTCAGAATGCATTATGGGAAGGAAGGGACAGGGCCGAGGGTGGTTGCCTGGGCCAGGAGATGGCTAGGATCCATATAAAGGGTCCAAAATTTATGTTGGAGTAGGCCTGTCACACAGAGGTTAATATGCTACTAGTAATACCCACATCCCAAGTCCAGGAGCCTGGGATGCAGCTCCATGCTAAAGCACAGCCCGGGAGGCAGTGGCTGATGGTTCAAGTACTCGGGCCCTTACCACCCACGTGGGAGACCTGAATGGAGTTCCAGGTCCCTGGCTTGGACCCAGTCCTGGCTACCGTGGGCATCTGAGAAGTGAACTGATAGTTGGAGTATCTCTCACAAAACAAAGGGTACAGGGCTATACAAACTTGAATTGTGTTCCTGAATCTCCTCTGTTATAAGGCAGGCTGGGATACAAGTGTTTTGATAGTAACTTTTTCAGATAGCAAAGTTTGCTCAGGTGTCTGAAGGATTTTCAAGGTAGTTTTGAAAAGGCTGAGCAGGAGGAGCTAGCATGAGTGAAGATCCACTTGTCTCTTCCTCCTCCCCCAGGGCAAACAAAGTTGCTATCTATGAAGCACAGGAGTCGCTCGCTCCACATTAGGGACACTTCAATCTTTTCCTCCCATTCCGCTGCTTCCACTTTAGACGTGCATTAAACTCATTGGAAAAACACGCAGCCTTTTTGCTGCTTTTCCTGACAAAAGTGGTTTGGCGTTTTCCCAACCTTGGCCGCCCTGGGTGCCATCCCAGTGCGCATGACCAACCTGAAGCCCCACATAGGGTAGATCCGGAGGGAGCTGGTGGCTACAGACTCAAGTCTAACAAGTTTCCTCAGAGCACAGGTTGGGCTCCTAACCACCTGGTGGACATGCTAGGCTGCTGAATCCAAGACCAAGTCTTAGGCTGGTGGACCTGGGCCGAAGGAACCCTCCAGGGAAATGCAGGGCAGGGGTGGGTGTCCGTGCCAGGGTGCAAGACCTCAAATCCCACTGGAAAACGCACTGTCCACGGGGAAGCAGGAAGATAGTTTGGCTCCGGCCCAAATCTCCCCCGTGTGTCCACCGCCCTCCCCAACCGGGTCGTCGAAGCGGCTCAGCTGTCGGGTTCCCTCCTACCCCGGGGAAGTGGCCAGGACACCCCGTTCTCCTGCCCTGACACCCATCCAGGTTCCAGAGGCGCCTCTTCTCCACAAGCTGAGAGCACCTGGGTCACCTGGAGCCTACTGGTGTTCCAAGAGGGGCGGAACGCGCAGGTCGTGGCTTCCAGGAGCGGCTTGCTTCCGCTGCGTTCGCTCCAAGGGGTCTGAACTGGCCGCAGGGCTGCCCACCGCCCAGCCACGGTCCCTTCCTTTCCCCAGGCTTCCGACTCCCGGCCTTGGAGCGCCCCCTGCCCACCCTTGCTTTACTGAGAGGAGGAAGCTGGCGAGGGAGGAAGGCGCAGGGGGCAGGGCGGGCTCCAGGCGTCCGGGAGGCTCCTGGTGCGCGCGGGAAAGCGGGAAGGCTGGACTGGACTCCAAAAGAAAGGGTGGCTTGGCCCCGGGCCTGCTGCACTCCGGGGAAGCGGGGGGGGGGGGCGGACGGGAGGGCGAGGGGGTGCAGGGCCCGCGCGCCTGGATCTGCCCTTCTCCCCGCCTGACCCCACCACGCTTTGCACCAACCCTTAGCCAAGCGCCCTGGCCAACAGTCCGGGTGCCTTGCCCAACCCCCTGCTGTGCTTCTACGGGTTTGGGGGGTGGGGTGCGCCACTTCCCAGGAAGGCACGACCTTTTCCCCTTTCCGCGGAAGGGCTCCAGGCACTCATCCCACGGGTGCCACACGGGTAGGGGGCACAGCCTGTTTGCTCCTGAAACGCCCTTGCAGTTAAGACCCGGGCACGCGCCCGGGCACCGCCTCTGAGAGGTCCCGGGGCTTGAAGGCGGGGACGCCCTGAGGATGGTGAGGGCGATAGGGCGCGGGCTGGGGATTTGGCTATCGTTCGGCCAGTGGCTGGAGCAGGCGTCCAGAACGCCAGCAACAAAACAACCCTTCCCCTGCACTCTGCTCCATCCCCGGGGATCCCCCACTTTCCAAACCGCCTAGAGCACGAAGTACTGAGACAAGCCTGGGTGTGGACGGGCGGCTTGGAGGCGCCCCAGTTCCCAGAATCGAACGCCAAATCTCGGAACTGTGAGGCCGCCACGCGCAGAGGGCAACGGACACGATTGGCATTGGGGTGCGCACAGGGCAAGGCGTGTGCTGTATGGAGCTGCATTCCCGGCCTCGCGCTTTTGGCCGATGACTGCCCTTCGCCTGTGCACTACTGCGCCCCCAGCCTTCATTCTCAGCCCGAGATATCCAGGAGTACTCGCTGCCCTTGCCTTGCGTCTCGGGTCGGTGCAAGGAGGGAGGGGGCCCGACACCGCACTCCTCGCTGCTCCGGGACCCGGAGTTGCTCCAAGCAGCCAGCACCCCCTGGGCGCTCCGCCCTGCCGAGCTGCACAGCCCTGCCCAGCGGTCCAGATCGAGATTGCTCTGTGGGTTGAGTCGGACCCCGACGTTGCAGCCGGGGCGCAGCCCCAGGCGGTGCTGGTGAGGGCCCACCGTGCATCAGAGAAGGAGCCACCGCCGTCCTTAGCAGGCGGCCGGCGGGCGGGGCGAGGGGGAGGGCTGGGCAGGGGCGGGAGCTCGGGCGGGGGCGGGCGCAGCCGGCGCTGAGCGCCGCGTCTTCCGTTCCCGCTCCTCTGCTGCGCGCAGACACCCGGCCTCCCCCCGGGCGCCGGCTCCTCGGCTCCAACCCGTCCAAGAGCGAACGGTCCTTTCTTTCTGGAATTGGCTGTGCTGCGTGCGCGCGCGGCCTTCCCCCTCCCTCTGCCCCTCCCAACCCCCATTTTTTTTTTTTTCTTTTTTGGAGCCATGGCCCGGGCAGTGGCTCTTGGAAGAGGAACAAGTGTGGGAAAAGGGAGGGGAAGCCGAAGCTAAATGACAGGATGCAAGCGACTTGAGCTGCACAAGCAGCAGCGCGTCTCAGAGCCTGGCAGAGCGGGCTGAGCACCGCAACCCCCGCGCAGCCGGAGCGCCTCGGGCGGCGTGGACCCCCGGGCTCGGCTTCGTTGCGTCTCCGGGCCGTTCCCTCGCCCGCGATTCCCGCTTCTGCCTGCGGATCTGAGAAGGGAGCATGGAGAGGACGCCTCTCTTCTGCGCCGCGTTCGCGCTCGCCCTGACCGTGGCCGGCGCCTTCCGTAACGGTGAGTGGCAGGCCGGGCGCGATGGGGACAGCCCGGGGACGGCGTAGAGGACAGCGGGGGAAGCTGCGGGGAGAGCCCAGGCACAGTGGAGGAGAGGACGGCGCGGCGACCTCGGCGCAGGGGACAGATCGGGTTCGGCGCACTGGGGCCGCGGTGCCGGGGGACAGCGCGGGAATGACCCGGGGAAGGCGCGCGGGCGCGGGGACTGTGGCGCGAGGACTCCGCCGGCCACCGGACCAGGGTTCGCACACAGCCGCGGGGCACCGGAGAGGCGGAGTCCGGAGGGAGCCGAAGGAAAGTTTTATATGGGTGCAGAGAGGATAACAGGGGCTCCGATCCGAGTGGGATTGGCTCCACCGGGCTCCCAGTCCTAGGCTGCCTCGGGAAGTTGGTTTGTGGCTGGGGGCGTGGGGTCTTCTCCCCACCTGGGCCTGGGGGCAGAGCCGCCTACCTACCTCCCTCTCACACACCCGCAGCCAATTACCCTCCTAATGTTTCCTCCCGAAGGCAATTAGCCGAGGCTTCCCTTTCAAAAATCCGAGGGCTGTGGCGGGGAGCTAAGGCTCACCGCGCTCTCCGGGAGCGCTGCCCGGCTGCCTAGCCGACCCTGCGCTCTCGCCTCCTCTTAGGGGAACCGGGGTCTTCCGCTGGTTCCGGGAGCTCCCTCTGCGCGCGGGGTCCTCCCTACCCCATTACGAATGAATGAACGCCTAGGGGTCCCACGCGGGAGTCTAATAGGACAGCATGAGGCCCCCGGGGTGGCTGCAGATCCCGGGCAAGATTGTGGCATTCACTTGACTGTGACTGCCCTTTAGGTCCTTGAGGGCCTGGCCAGGGCGGTAACAGGGCAGGGCTCTGGACCCCAAGTTGTGTGTCTCTGAGTTGGGACCCGATTGTAGGCACGCTTGAGTCTCACTCATAGTGAATGTCTGCAATTCTGTTAACAGTAGTGGGTCCTCAACCATTATTAACTAATTACTAAATATTTACTTTTGTCTGGCTTCGATTTCAATCAAAGTAATTAGGAGGAGAGAATACGCACCACTTACTGTGGTATATTGTTTTAATAAGAGACCACAAGTGGAGGAGAACTCATGCGGGGCAGGAATTGGAATCCTGGCTTTATGATGGAAGTTAATCTTACTGATGCGCCTTTATAGAGAGAGAGGTTTTGTGATTTCAGCTGTAGATGTTCCCACACAGGTACCAAGCGGTGATCTGAAGACTGTACTAAAATGCGTGCAAAATAAAACCCAGCCCTGAATGTGTTAGGAGCCAGAGCTGCTGGCCTCTATGTTAACCTGGCAGAAAGTGAACCACACAGAATTATGAATGTGGAGTACAATTTATTAATGAACCTGGGCTGTGGCATCTTCCTGTGAATGACAGGGAGTGGAGTCTCATTCTGCCCCAGCGGGAAAAGCTCTGAAATGGCTGCACTCTGTGGAGGTGGCCGTGACCCCACCCTCTGTGCTCCTCTCCTGAGCTAAGTCCACTGTGTGTGGGGGGGTGCACATCCCAGGGCCTGGGCGGGGCGGGGGGGACTCTACCCCTGGTGCAGAAGGGGTTTGGGAGTCAAAGTTATGAGACACACACACACACACACACGCTCAAAACACACACTTTTAATTCCCTCAGCAGAAATCTGGGGAATGCAGACCATCTGCAGCCTGACGGTCTGTGAGCTTGACCAGCCGGGGCTACGCGGCCACGCGCAGTGACCACACACACCTCCCCAAGCCGTGTTCTCCTGGGCCGGCCACCAGTGCCTGCTAAATTAATTCATTAACCTTCTCTCGGACTAATGGCCCAGACTCATTAGAAAACTGCTCTTTCTTAATCAACTGGCAGAGAGACTGAGCAGACCCAGGGAGTCTGGCGGCCCACATTATCTTATTACACTGTCACTTTCTCAGAAGTCACAGATGAAAGGCGCTGCTGGGCCGCAGAGCCCACCTCCCAGGCCTGGGCCACGACCATTTCCTTGCCAGACACGAGCCGGGGGGAAGCCTGGGGACACAGGGTCCCTCTCCAGGTCCTGTGCGCTGGTACGGCTCACTCTGTATGGGTGGGTGGCAGATGTCAGAGCAATCCCATAGGGGTCCCTAGCATCGCCCGCTGTGGCCGGTGTCACTTCGTCTTGGCACAGGTTGAAGGAAACCGGTACATGGATAACCCTTGGCCTGGGCACGAAAATTGGGCATGTGCAGCAGCTGAGGCAAACGATATCATTTATGTTGTCTTCTTTTTTAATTTATGGGAAATGATTTCTGGAATGTGTGGAGCTTTATGCATTTTTGATGTGCTCTTCATCTTTCATTTCCATTTGACCTGGTTTTCTTGCAATAAAACCCTGTAGATTTATAAATTCATGCTGGGAGTAAAGAATGCCTTTCTCTTTTCATGGGGATTCTATTAAATGCAATATTAAAATCCATATATCCCATTATCGAAGACCCATGATTGATTAGGCTTCTGTAGCCCATGCCTTCCTACCTCTTCCTCTGACGTAGTTTATGTAGGCACCAAAGTGTTACTGTTCAAAACAACGTATCAATAGATGTGGTGGCGATTCTGGTTGGGATCTGTCTCCAGAGTCCAGGGTGCCCTCCCCCCAATCCTCAAGCCCCCACTCCCCCATGAGCCACCTCTGCATCTGTCCTTTTCTGAAACCAAGAAGGTTCAAATCCAGTCTCTCAGCTTCCCCAGGAAGCAAGGGTGCGGCTCAGCAGCCGTGACCCTGACCGCCGTCAGCGCTGTCAGCGTGGCCGAGTCCTCCCTCCACCATGCAGGCAGCCGGGGTGCAGGTGGTTTTCTATCTGAGCCTCGAGTCTTGGCAGCTCCACGCGGAAGGGGATTTCTGTTTCTGCAAGCACACTGTGCTGTTTGGGATCCCAAGAGCAGGAAAAATGGAACTCTGGGTGAGGGACAGGCGAAGCAGCCACAGCAGCAACGAAGGGCACAGCCGGTCTGTCTGTCTCCTGCCACTCCCAGGGAGAGATCCACTTCCTGGGAGTGCAGTAGGTCTCCTGGAAACCCCTACCTGCCTCCTCGCTAAGCGGGTGCTGCTCTGACATCTGCCACTACCAATGAGCTCAGACTGCTGGCCTCTGAGCATGCCCTGCAGAGGACAGTGGCCTGCCAGGCCCAGGGTGCCACCTGCAACCTTAAGGAAACCTTCCCAGGGGTTGGGGTGTTCCTGACAACCCATTGTCACCTGCTAACCTGAGCCTATCTGTTTGCAGATAAATGTGGGGACACCATCAGAATCGAGAGCCCCGGTTACCTGACGTCCCCCGGATACCCACACTCCTACCACCCGAGCGAGAAATGCGAGTGGCTGCTACAAGCACCCGATCAGTACCAGAGAATCATGATCAACTTCAACCCCCACTTCGACCTGGAAGACAGGGAGTGCAAGTGAGTGAGCGCGGCGTGCAGCAGGGCGCGCGGCGCCACCTAGCGTCTGCCTGCGCGCAGTCGTGGCCACCTCTGTCTCCGGCCAGCAGGGAATGGGGCTAGGAGGGCCGACCCTGTCCTGTTAGTTCGTGTGGCGTATTTATCTGTATGATTGTGTTTCGGGTTTTTTTTTTCTCCTATTCTGGGAAGAGCCAGAAAGCAGCAATAAGAGTTCCTGCTTGTGTTTCTCTTGGTATTATAGAGCTTTGCTCATGTGGGTGCTGAGATCGGGCTGTGCTTTGTCCGACCATGCACCTGGCAGGTTTTATGACTCCAGGACTGCGTCTGTCTTGCTGGATTTGACACGTGAAATGGGGGAGCCACAGGCCGAGTCAGATGGGCTCTGGAAAGCTGGGAGGCCTCCATGGAAAATGCTAGCACTCCACTAAATAGGACCAGAGCTGAAATAGAAATCAGCAGTTTTGCCTGCGGGCTTTGGTTTTGCCGTGTTCTGTCATGACGTGACTCAGCATTGTGCACACTCTGTCACTTAACACAGCGCGGAATGATATTTCTCCACTGAGCTTGGGAGAGCTGGTGTGTGTGGGTGTCGCTGCCCACAACTGTCTTGGAGACTCTGTGCTTGCCATGAGCAGACTTCCACTCAGCCCACGTCTGCACCGGCTCTCAACAACACCGTGACTGCCCGTCTTCCCCACGCCATCCCAGTCTGCACCCCTCATGGGGTGCGATTGGCAGGGATTAGCACCTGCTGGTCAGACTAAATAGATAAGCATTCTGATCCCAGGCAGAGTTGGTTTAATGCTCAGATCTAAAGCGTTGCGGGGGGCAGGGGGGAGGTGGTGGGGGGCGTTGGCTTTGCTATCTGTGGTCTTGAAATGGGTTCATCTTGAATTCCCATTTGGGAATTCCAATGGGAATTCAAGATGAACATGGACATGACGTTTCTGAGGGGACTGATTGGGCACATGGTCCCACCTCTAGCAAGTCTGGCCACCTGTTGAGTGGGAGGAGTGACCTGGCTTTTCCTGGTCATCTGAAGAATTCTGTGTTTGGAGAATTAGCATAAATTGGTTTCCAAGCAATCAGCATTTACTTGGCAGTGAAATCAGGCGATATAATCAGACCCTTTCTAGTTTGTTCCCGGGCCCGTGAATCTGAAATGCTTCAGTGGCTTCTGACGGACTAGCTTCATCATACGGGATTTGGCCTGTTAATACTCTTGCTGGTGATTTTCAACCACGACAGTCCCTCAGACAAGTTAAAGACGTGTTGTCTATTTTGTTTTTAGCTATTTTTGTTTACACTGCTCAAATTGCATTAGGAAAGTTTTGTCCTTGTTGCTATTGCTGTGTAAGGAATTCTGTTGAAATAATACTCCAGCAATAGCATTGCTCTGTAAAACTCAGGTGCTAATTAAATTTCCAGACGCTCATGTTTGTTAACAGTTGACTTGAATACTGTGGCTGTGTGGATCCTTAACTCGGGCCCTGAATTAGTGAAAGAACTCAGAATGGTCAAAATTGTTGGTAGTGGGTGCTTGGTGACTGGGAGAACAGGGCAGAATCGAGATGTGTTACCTTTGTGAAGACCCTGGCCCTGACGACTGGAAGCCACCCATGTACCCTGGTGTTGGTGCACAGCATGGCGGGAGGTGCACTATCGTTCCCCGTGAGGTGGTACCAGCCCCAGATCACGACTGGGACCGAAGTTCAGCAGGTGAAGCCTCCTGACTTTCCACATGCTTACGACAGCGTCTGGCGGGCAGTAAGCCTTAAATAACTCCTTGTGATCCCATGATGCGAGGTGGGATTGGGGCAGAGCTCATGCTAGCTTTCTCTTTGAAAGCTGGCAAGATAAAGGATGATGCTAATTTGTAGAAAAAGGCAGTATTAGTGATATTAATGTGATGTTGTCAGGGAGTCTTTGGAATTTTTGTTGTGGTCCTTTATGCTATAGAGTGGGGTGATTTCTTCACTGTCACCCCGGGGGCCCATCTCCAAGCCAGGGCCGAGACTGGTACATTTAGCATGATGAAGTCAGTGTAGAGGGTGCCGTGGGGAAGAGTCTGTGTGTTCCTGTCTGCTGAGTAGCTGGCCGGAGCCCTGTCAGCCGGCAGCTCCAGAAAGACCGTGGACACCAGCCCAACATAGTGCCCCCACTGGCCACGTCTGTGGCTGTGGTCCTCCGAGGAACACACTCATGGTCTTGGCCATATTAGACGTCCCTACATGCAGCTGATTTTTGTTAAGATTATTTATATATATGTAAAAAAAAGCAGATAGGAGGTGGCACACACCCAGGTAGTGCTAACCACGGAGTGGCGAGCTCTGAGTCACAGCTCCCACTAGGTTGTGTGTGGGGTCTGGATTACACACCACCTTCCCCTACCCCCACCCCAGCCCTCTGCCTCTGCTGATTGATGTGTCACTGGGGGGTCCTCTGGTTACCTCCAAAGAAGTAGCCAATGTGAAGGCCCTTTGAAAAGTTAGGCTAAGTCAGGCTGATGGTGTAGCCAACACCTTGGGTGTAGCTAGGCTGCTTGTGAAACTAAACATGTCCAAGTGACTCTAGGGATGAATCGTGCCGCACTCCTTGCATCTTCTCTTGAAGCTGTGGGGGCCGGGGCACTGGATTTCCACTGTGACGAAGTCTGAGGAATCGATTTCCCAGCATGTTTGCTAATTGAGGAACAGCCTGGGACCCAAGGAAATGATTTTCTTTTGCAGGTTTTAGGACAGGCGAGTAATTAAATAGGCCTTCCAATAGATGTGGTGGAAGAGTATTTCTTTCTTAATTATTAATGCTTGGTTTCTGATTAGGCAAATAATAATAATATCCTAGTGTGAGCAGGGCCATGAGCAGCACCAGGACATGCCCAGTTCCTGCCACCCATGGCTGTGCTCCTCCAGTGGGTGCCGCAGTTCCCAGCAGCTCCCAGGGGACGTGTCCTTCAGGGAAATAGATGTTTGAAGCTGTTCTGGTCCCCACAGAATCCAGGTCCTAGACAAATCAACATCAAGATCGCAGGGCTCTGCCCACTTGAAATGACTGATGGTGCCGAGGAGTGCATGGCTCCGTGCAGTAACGGGCAACTGAACTGAGCCGTCTGCAGGCTGACAAGGGGCTGGGCTGGGGTCTCACGCCACATGGGTGTGTGTGGGCCTGTGGCTGGTGTTGAGCACGCTAGGGAATTTGGCAAGAGGAGGACATGGTGAGGAAGGGAACAATGAGCTCTCCAAAGCATGCCTGTGAGCGTCCAAGAGCTAAGTGTGGTTAAAAGTAGCAACAGGCAGACAGGACGGGCGGGTGTCTGCCAGGGAGCCAGCCTTGTGGTTCTTAACTACGCCAACGTCTTCCTCGGTGGAAGGCAGACATCTTGAGTCTCGTAAAACTTTATATCTCTATAGTAAACAGGAACATCACTGGTACAGTAGTTAGAATTTATGGCTCCCTTCCGGTTTCCCAGCCTTGCAGGCGATCGGCATGATAATTTATAATGGTTTGTGACAAATACTGCTGAGCAAAGAGGTGTGTGGTTACATTCAGCTCGGATGTCGGCACCTGGGGAGCAATAAAAGTTTCACAGACCCCGGGTTAAAAACATTAGGAAAATGAAGGCAGAGTTCCAGGGAAAGAGTCTAGAGGTGGTGGTGTTGTGGGGAGACGTCCTAGCATTGAGTGGACTCTGGCGTCCATCCCCTGCTTGCTACAGGGGGCACCTCGGCCTGGCATGCTCAAGTTGGGGTCTCTGAGGATGCACCATGGCCCCTCTGGATGGCGAGAGCTGCTCCCGGTTGAGTGCCTGCAGAGGGAAACAGGAAGCAGAGCCCCAGGCACTGCGGGGAGATGGAGATGAGGCCCTGGCTTTGGCATGTTGCAGGAATCAATTGTGCATTGTTTCTTTAATCCTGCTCTCCACATTACCCGAGTTATTATAAACTGTGAAACGCGGCTAATCGCATTTATTTTCATGGAGTACAAACTCGTTGATTGGAAATTAATATCTGCCCTCAGTTTCTCAAATCTGATTATTCCTGCAAATTGAATTATACCAGTGGCCACTTAGTCATTTCTCGGCAAGTTGGGCAACATACATTCCATTTTGGGATTTCCTGGAGTAATATTTTCAATTTTGGACTTTCTTTCCTTATTTTGCTTTGGCGGTTTTTCTTTCTTCCTTTCTTTTGCATTAATTTTGAGTTGAAAAACCCATTGCAGTAAAACACCATTTATCTGCATGGAACTTCCTGGAGTTTTGTGTCCAGGGGTGAGTCTGTGCCTCTAGCTTTGTGTTTCCCAGCATTGCTTACGTCGAGTCAGACCGTGCTTTTAATCCAGTGTTCCTTCTCTCTGGAATACAGAAGTTTATTGAAATTAGAGTAACAACTTGCAAAGATACACAACCTCAGTTTGAGATTGCCGAAGAGATGGGAGGTAAACACCTCAGTGGAATCAAGGCAGAGCAAACAGTTCTGCTCCCTGGGAGGCCCCGAACACCCTCCCTGGGTCACCAACCTTTGCCCCAGAGCACCTGTGGCCCCTAGCTGCCTTGGATCTCTTGTTTGTCTGTTTCGAAGTCCAACAAAACTCAACAGCAGCTGAGCGGAAAACTCAACAGCAGCTGAGCGGTGTGCTGTTCACTGTCCTTGAACACAGACCGTGGCTTGTTTTGGGGGGTGGTCACTGCAGAAACAGCCTTGGTTCATGGCCTGCAATTATATGAAAGCGAACGTGAGCTTGCCTGTCTGGAGCCTGCTTTGTGTGCAAGGAAGAATACTCCTTGGCTTTCGTTCTTACCTTTTCATTCCTGTGACTTGGGATAGCTTCCCGATGCCACCGGGTCTGTGCTAGGGGTGCCACTGCTGAGTTCGACTCCCCTCAAATCTCCTGGGTAGGACTGGAGAAGCCCAGAGTTGTGAGACTCCCCCGGCCACCTGACAATCCCACCCAGGACTCAGGTGGATAAACGCTGTGTTTTTATGGCCCTCTATTAGCGC